GATGCTGCTCAACTTGCAGAGACATTTGCTGAGTTGAAATGTTCCACAAAGGTATTTATTTTGGCTTCAAAAAGACATGAGAAATTAATTCCTTTTGTTTAGCATTTAATTTGGTTTTAGAAGGATTTATTTTGATCGATGGTGCAATATGAGCTTGTGAATCAGACGTGTTTGTGAGTATAGGTTGTTTTCTTATATGATCTGTTCAGGTTGAATAGCTAAACACTAGAAGTTTGTGGACAGGTGGTTGGAGTTCCTGTAACCTTGAACGGGGATCTAAAAAATCAATTTGTCGAGACAAATGTAGGATTTGACACAATTTGCAAGGTATTTTTTATTTGTCTTTCTTCATAGAATCTTGATCATTTGTGTTTATGGCATAACACAATTCTTTCTTCATGGCTCTGGATAAAACTTAATTCTAGTAAGTGCATTGTAACATGTGCCATCATTCTTTGTTTCTGCTCAATATGAAATAAAGACCAACACTCTTATTATTTTTGTTATGCTTTTGCTGACAGTAAATGTGCATCCTGGATTCTAGAATTAACATTCAGCTTTCTCCTCTACCGTGGTCACGACTAATATTGTACTGTTCAATGTCTTAATGAATATTACTTTTGTCACCCTATTTGCAGGTCAACTCACAACTTATTAGTAATGTATGCACAGATGCTCTCTCTGCAGAAAAGGTAATGACTTAACTCATAGATTCTGGGGAGAAAAAGTAATCTTTATGTATGAAAATAGCTGTGAAATTTATGGACATGCAAGGAGTCAAATCTTTATGTAAGAATCTTGGAAACTGGCTACTTCATTTTTCCTTAAGACACTGAGAAAACTGAAAAAATGCTATCCAGTAATCCATTGGGATCTTCATCTTATCATGCAGTCTTGCTTATAAAATACTTTGCTACAAGGCTAATATTGCTAAACAATTAGACGAAAATTGCTTTTGCTTATAACAATTTACTTTCCTGCCATGTTTTTCTTTGCTCATGCCTCTAACCAAATTAGATGAAAATGAATTTGCAGTATTATTATTTTATTCGCCTGATGGGCCGCAAGGCATCACATGTAGCCTTGGAGTGTACACTCCAGTCACACCCAAATATGGTCAGTTCTTTTGTCAGATTTATGTCATTTTTTCTTCTCTTTCTATCATTTGCATTGTGAATATGCTTCGATTGCTGATTGGAGTTCACTTCAACTGATCTTAGGTCATTCTAGGTGAGGAAGTCGCAGCATCAAAACTTACAATTTTTGACATTACACAGCAGATCTGTGATGCAGTCCAAGCCAGGGCAGAAAAAGGTCACATGAGGAGCTGTTAATTCTCCTTTTACTGATATGTTTTCTTTTCCTGATGCACTATTTTGCTTTTGCACAGACAAATATCATGGTGTCATCCTCATCCCAGAGGGTCTTGTAGAGAGCATACCAGAATTATACGCACTGCTTCAGGTAGTTGATATGTTGCATGGCGAAACAACTTCATTATTAGTTCTTAGCTTTACAATTAAAGCTGATCTGACTTTCTTTTTCATTATGTTATAACTGCTATAGGAAATTCATGGTCTTCATCGTCGAGGAGTGTCTGTTGAGGATATTTCTTCTCAGCTTTCCCCATGGGCATCTGCACTGTTTGTTTTTTTGCCACCATTTATCAGGAAACAGGTTCTGTTTCGAGTACTTTTCTTTGGTGAATATGTTGTAGATGTTTATTCACTGGATGCTATTAAATTTTTTGTGAATTATTAGTAACTCTATAAGTGCCCTGCAGTTGCTTCTGCATCCAGAATCTGATGACTCTGCCCAGCTTTCTCAGGTAAACCTCAAACATTTTGGCAGATATTCAGAATAGTTCAAGCATTTATATAGTCTTACTTTCTTTTCATGCTTCTCTGTTTAGATTGAGACAGAAAAGCTTCTAGCTCAATTGGTGGAGACAGAAATGAATAAGCGGTTGGTAAGTTCAATCTAGCTTTAAGACTCCCTAGTTCATCAATAAAATTGATCGAGAATTAGAATTATTGTGTTTGTATGTTCTCTGTTGTTGGACGAGGCTCTGTATCAGTAACTATTTCTTTATGTAATAAATTCTTTTCCTTTTTTACTTTTTTTTATTCATTTATATAACACATCTTTCATCCTATCTTAACAGAAGGAAGGCACCTACAAGGGAAAGAAATTTAATGCAATATGCCACTTTTTTGGGTATCAAGCTCGAGGGTCTTTACCATCAAAATTCGATTGTGACTATGCATTTGTAAGTCCTAGGAATAGCAACTCATCTTTAGCTTCCTCATTTGGCATGAAGGGTGAACATGTATCAACTTAACTGTACTGTTTTAGGTTCTTGGGCATGTGTGCTATCACATACTGGCAGCCGGTTTAAATGGTTACATGGCAACTATTACAAATCTGAAAAACCCAGTGAATAAGTGGCGATGTGGAGCTGCTCCAATTACAGTAAGATGTGTACCTTGTGTGTTAGTATTATGAATAACTGGCTTCTTCAGAGCCTGACTGCAGGGATCTGCTTATTTTGTACAAACCATGACAAGCTCTATTTGACTAGAAACTTTGATCACTGCTAGGCAATGATGTCTGTGAAGCGTTGGTCACATGGTCCTGGAGCCATGCCAATAGGAAAACCTGCCATCCACCCTGCCACAGTTGATTTGAAGGGAAAAGCATATGAGTATGTTTTCATCAGCAACATTTAGCTTTTACTTCTTTGCTGCTTATAACTTCTCTAGGACTACTTGCTGGGCAACTAAGCCACTTATTACTCAGTTTTTTCTGTTTCTTCATTTGTTTGCTGGATAATTTTCTTTTCTTATTAATTGCAAATCCTTACCTAGCTGGCATTAGTTTAATATTCTTATTAATTAGCATTTTTAAGTAATTCAAACTTGGAATCCAGGTTGCTGAGGCGCAGTGCTTCAAGTTTTTTGATGGATGATATATATAGAAACCCAGGACCACTCCAGTTTGATGGTCCAGGTGCAGATGCTAAGGCTATATCATTGTGTGTTGAAGATCAAGATTACATGGGCCGGATCAAATTGCTGCAGGAGTATCTAGATAAGGTACTTATATCTTGTCATTAGTTTGTCTCATGTGCGTTTTTATTTTTTGTATATCAGTGTTGTTGAATATGCAATAATCACGTCAAAAAGAAATTGTTGCAAGAATCAATAGCTTCTTCAAGATTTTCTGGATTACCAGTATTCTGAATATTGTCATCCATTCCTTTCAATGCTTAAGAGATATTTTTTCACATCAAAAGCTTGAATTTTCAACATAGGTCATGATGACTGGTTTTAATGCTTATTATCCACTCAGTAACATATATCGTATATAAGCCAAGGACATTTGGTGCTCTTCATTTGTATGTTCTATCATGGTTATAACCTCTAGTTAGAATGTTTAACTTCTACTTGGACACAAGATTTAGCAAATTATATTACCTTCTTTCGAATTTGCTTCTTTGTAACAAAATATGATCCATAGTTGTAACATTTTGCTTTAGGGTGTTTCCATTGCTTTCTGAAACATTTTGCCCGGACTGTCATCTGTGTTTCTATTGGGCCCTGGTACTGCTGTCCGGCAAAACCATGTTATTGGACTTCCTTTGTGCTGAGGCATTAGCTGTTTATTATATTTTGCATAAATTATATGATGTTATCTGCTTTATTATGATTCCTATGCTGACGCCTTTAGTTTTATACAGGTCAGGAGCATTGTGAAGCCAGGATGTCCGCAAGAAGTCCTGAAAGCAGCTTTAAGTTCTATGGCCTCCGTGACAGATGTGTTGTCTGTCATGTCTTCTTCCTCGCTCAATGGGTAGACACCCCTCTGAAACAACCATTCTCACAGGAAGATCTTACCAGGCTGCATGTTTCCTTTTCCCTCTCCTTAATCAGCTTTTCCAAACTCCTAAGGTTTATTAGGAAGTACCTGAGAGTGATTTGACTTTCTAATGTTTCTATCTCTTTTTCCTTTGTATCCACCAATTTTGACCATACGTCGCCACTCATGAGCCCACACTTACATATCTGCTGGGAGCGGAATAAAAGAACAAACAATTTGGTTCATTGAGATAAAATGGAACCGATATTGCCTTTACATGCTGAGAAGATGCATAATAAGTGCATCCGTTTCATGAATGAGCGGCTGTGCTCGGAAGCCTTGGATACGTGGAATGGTGTTTGAGGCTTGAGGGAGGGATATTATGGAGTTTGAGCGACGAAGCACCTGACGTAATTCTTTGATGCCTCCATTTTCATCTTTTATTAAGCCTCACTAGTCCCTATATTAGCTGGAGGAACAAAGATTGATTGGGGAATTAGTTGTACAGTCACTAATAAATTGCCAATCAAGTGTAAAAAAATAATCTAGGAGAGTTTTTTTTTGGGTTTTAATAAGACTATAACTTATTATGCTACCATTTCCCATCTCTCGACTCATCTAGCAACTAAAAAGCTATTGGTCAGATTCACATAGACTTCCAAACTCTGCTCATCTTGCCTCATTATAATATTACAACTCTAGCAAAGCCTTACACGTCTTGGGGGGAAACCACTATAAAGACTTTCTTATGTGTCACACGTTTTATTGGCACAATTTCTTAAGCCCTAAGTTCCCAACTCACAGGCCTTATGGATTAAGAAAACTCTCAAATTTGACCTGTACAAACTATGATGGACGCATCGACCCAAAAATAGTACCATCCGGTGCACAAGATTTCCAACCTCCAGAGTGGACGAGGACATCGATTGATATTATACAATCTTAAATCTGAAAATAATTTAACCCCGCAGTGTGACAAACCGAGACGTCGATTCTTGATCATCCAAGATGTGAGTCAAGATCCGTCCTCACACGAATTTTAAAGATTGATATAACCGATTAATTTAATTCGGTCGTTAATCGAGTCAAACCATATCAAAAGGTCCTTACCGGTCCGATTAATCGTCCACCGCCATCTGAATCGGTCCAGACCGGTCAGGTCAGGTTCTCGAGGGAACCGCGTCGGAGTTTCTTTAGGATACTGCTCTAAGACGCGCATCCGCACACGGGTCTCCGTAAGTCCAATTCCTCTCTCCTCTTCCGGCTCCCGTTCCCGAGTTCCGCCCCCACCGACTCAGCGAGGGCTCGGGTCCTTTCCCGCCGGTACTCCGCCCGATCCTCGCCACGAGGCCGCCGACAAAGAGAGCGGCGGCACTGGGGTTCCCGGGATCTGAATAACGGGGAAGAAGCGGAAGGCGTGCTCGCTAGTGGCGGCGGAGATCCGACGAGGAATTCCGAGGCAGAAGGAGGGGCTTCGGCGATCTTCTGGTGGTTTCAATAGTGAGTCTTCTTTCCCTTCCCTTTTCTTGGTTTTCTTTTGGTTCTTTCTTCACCGGGAAGAAGAAATGAAGGCGAAGCTTGATACCCATTTTCTTTTCTTTTAATATAAAGAATCTCGTGCCGTCAGATGTCGATCCAGATCCGGACCGGCTGATCTTGTTGACCTAACCTAAACCCCAAATCCTCCGGGATATCCAATGAAGGACCAACTGTTTAAAGAATATTCAAGAACATGATACTGTCCGAAGAAAGATCTTGCGTCTCACGAAGGAAGTCTAACAATCTAAATTGACGAATGAGGTAGTAAAGATGGAACACCTAGGACATTAAAGGTCTCATTGGTCTAAAGAATAATCACCTAGCTAGGATATTCTTATTATTATTCCACTAATCATGATGACATTCATGGTAAGCTCCCAAACATGTTTGAACGTTTTATCTGTACATTATGTTATTTATAATGTTTTGTTCCATGCTTTATAGAGCTATTTTATGTAATATTTCCATATTCTTGATTGTTAAGATTTTGGTAGCAGTTTCTAGTTTTAATGACTTAGTACCTACAGTTTATAGCTATTTGTGTATATATTTTTAAAGAACCTCTTGGAAGTCATGGACCATTGTGGGTGATAGGTGGAGGATAATGGTTCTAAACAAGCTGAGTCATAGAATATATGCAATCACGTAAGTATGGCATGCATACTAAATTGCAAATTGAGAATTGAGTAATCTATAAGCTGTAGCTATTCTTTCTCTTGCCTCTTCCTTGGTCAGGTCAAATAGTCAGGAAAGAGCTTGGCCTGACCCATCGAGAAAGTGCAGGTCAGCTCTGCTTGTGAGATAGTATTAGTGTGAGCTCCAAAAGATGTTAATTATAAATAAGAAGATTGAGCTAAATATCCCTTTTCACCTACTGGTATGTCCGAGGGAGAATAAGCCCTCAAAATATAAAACAGCTACCAAGAGAAATGACTGGGCTTGGGGTCGAAAGGCAAAAGCATGATATGGTTGAAAAGTTTATACTGTTACTTTATTTTCTTTATTGTAGTGGTAACTTTTGCTTATTGTCAATGGAAGTATGACTAGGTGCACACTTAATGGGCATTTTTGCTCTGTTGTTTCAATCTAGTTCATTTTTTATTGGACACTAAGGCATTGTCCCTTCTATTGCTCACTTATGCCATAACAGACAACAAAACTCTTTGAAATTTAAGTTTTTCAGAGTCTACTTCTGCAACAAACAAATACTTTAATTGTAACTCTCACTGTTTCACAGGAGTCATGTTTAACCCGATTTAACTTCAGAGCAAGTAGCCCTAGTCTCTGAGAGGCCTTAATGCCTTAGCGTGGGTAGAATGATCGGTAAATTTATTCTATAACATGTTTTGTTGTACTTGTGCTACATATCCTCCGGTACGAGTTGCCCCCACATGTGTGCTATCATGCTCTGGACAGAGTCATGTTGCTAAAAACTATACTAGTACTTACATGGCCAAGACTAAATATGCAACAACTCAGAAGCATGAAGGTGCAATCGGATGCAATTGGTGATTTGAATTAAAAAAGGGCAATCGGACTGTTTAATATCAGTGGGTATGTATTAGTTTGTCTGGTATTTTAAACCATTCTTTCATTGTTTTTGAAAATGTCTTTATTAGCCAAGGTATAGCAAAATCTTAGTTGTCTTACCTGATGCCCACCAAACTGTGTAGAAAATATTTATATGTCCATGCAAAGCACCTTCTTTTCCAAGTCTTTCTTTTGTTTTTTTTTTTTCCGCCAGTAGGATATAACATACAATTAATATCTCTGTGTAAATGTTTTATTTTTTTGTCTTTTTTTTTTTATTTTTTCGGTCTCTAGGAGGACTACCTTATTTGTTTAGAGAACAAGAAAATATATAAAGCGTTTAATGAGTTAGTGAAAATTTAATATTCTAAATTTATTTCATATATATTTTGTTTTAAATTGACATATTGATCGATTATGTTTTAGCATTTTCCAAATCATGCATTTGGATAATTTGGTTATATCCAAATCATACTTCATTACTCGAGTGACTCAATAGATCGAATAACTCCTCCATGAGGTGGGTAAAAAAATTCAAAGAAAAGAGCAATTTCGAAATGAAATTCAAAACAAACCTCTGATTTTCCAAGATGAATGTCTTTGCACTATTATTCTAGGTTATACACATGCATTCATTTAGGTTAAGAAAATATTATTCTGTAAAGAAAATAGCATGCATATGATTTCACAGATGCATTCCTTTCATATGCTATAGCCTTTTGAAAAGGTGAATAAGGTCAGTATAGCCTTTCATATGCTATAGCCCTCTGATAAGGTGATGCATCAAGATTGAGCCTCAGTGCATCTCATGCCTTTGTTCGCCTCAGGCAGGACTTTGATAATGTAGCTACAATGCACATTCGACAGGTCTCCAATAGGAGCTGCATGGCATCGGGTGGGTGACAGAGGGGTGGCACGGGACTGCTGAATTCTTGATTTTGACGTGGTGTTCACTCCAATGCATGTCTCTTTGTGCTTACTAAAAATAATTACAATTTGTTGCTGATATGAATAGGTTTCAATTATCCTGATTCTGTTGATGTGCTACAGGATTTGATAAACTATCAATAAATTAGTTGACCATGGACAATGGTGAAATCGAGAGTGCAGATGAGGAAATGCCTTCACATGGTGGACGGCAGTACAGGCCGGTGGTTTCCCATGAACAATCCATTGTCCAAATGACTTCCATGGAGTCTGGACCTCCTACTGAGATGCCAAAACAGTGAGTTCCTTATTTGAATTTTTTTTAAAATATTTTTTACATTATTTGAGTCTCTTGTTTCATGTAAGTATTAGTTTTCATGATCTTTTGTTTCGGTTGGTTATGTTTTATTCTTTCTTTTATTTGCTTGAAACTGTAAAGAGAGTTCTATTTTTATCAGTTCTCTACATAATATGGGAACACAGTCTATCAAGGTGCATGTTATTGTGGGAGCAGCAAGAGTTCTGGTCTCCATAGGATAAGGGGCAATGCATGTCAGCTGCATGAATTTTCATAATTTTGAACTTGTCACACTTCTATACTAGAGGAAATATTAGTAATGATGCCTGCATCTCTAAGCTCTCTTGGTTCAGGAATGAACACGTGCCTGTTGCATTTATGCTTAAAGAAGAATTTCATTACTAAGATCAATTTTGGTTGGCATCCATTTAAAAGGATATTATTAAATTTTCGTAAAACTTCAATCTAGAGTTCTATTAGGATTAACACTTGATTGTTGAGGTTTTGCTTGGCTCATAACTTGGCTCGGTCCTCCAATTCCACCAATCAAGTGAATGCAAGTGTGACTTTTACGGTGCTAACAGGGTACTTCTATATGAGTTCTTCTATTTCTTTTATTTGCTATATGGTTCTGTCTGAAATTTCTATTCCTTGTCTCAAATACAGGATTTTCTTACTATTTCAGGTATACTAATATAATTGATTAAATATGGCTTTTAAATTTATATATTGGAATTTTTAAAAGAAAATGTTCTACAATGTATTTACCTTTTCTTTTGCTGTTTATTTTCCTAGCATCACTTATTTTGTTATACTACTTTGCTGGCACAAGGCTGACAAAATAACAAATTTTTTATATTTATTGTAGGAAAATTAGGATTCCGTCACAATCAGAGAATGTTCCCAATCCAATGGAGGGACCTTCTAATGGCCATGATGAATTGAATAACTCTCAGAGGGAATCAAAATTGGAATTATTTGGTTTTGATTCTCTTGTTAACAAATTGGGACTCAAAAGGTAAGTGATCATTTTTTCATCTTTAATTCTTTACTTTTTTCATTCAATTTTTAGTTTTTTCTTTCATTTCTTTCATGGCCGGTGAAATTGTGTAATTCATGCTCTTCTTAAACTCATAATGAGATGTGTTTCTTTGGTCTGTTGGTTGAAGTCATATTATAGTCCGATACTTATATTATATATTTGTTGAGGTTTAAGTCACGGAAAAGTCACTATGTTGGCTCTCCCCAGAACCGTACTGGTTATGTGCTCGACAAGTATGTATTGGTTGCTATGACACCAACACAGACTTCAAATAGATACTTAAGTAGTAGTTCAACTTCAGTATCTAGATAATATACTATGATACTGGCATACCACGACCCAGTTTGGCCAGTATGGTACAGTTGGTTTAATGTAAAAAGATACAGTCTGGATATCTTTTCTTCAATTTTTAATTAATTGAATCATTACAGTATGACAGGAGAACAGATCCCAACACCCTCAAGTCCAAGGGATGGTGAGGACATTTCCATTACTATTGGGAGCCCAAAGGTACATTTGCTGGGTTTTTGGTTACAGCTACTCTGTATTTGTTTTTGTTTAGTTGAAAAACTTATCAACTTGCTTGCAGAAGTTACACATGCATGAAATGTTGATAACTTCCTATCACCTCCTCATGCATTTTCCAACTTATACTCTATGCTTTGCCTCATTACCAATATATAGAAATCTGGATCAGCCTTAATAAACATATAGAGTTAATCTTAGAGCATTGATTAGGGTACCTATATATGGAGTTAAATTCTTCTGTGATGTTATTTCATTGTTATCTTAGTAATTTTTTTTCTCTTACTTCAAATGTAAAACATAAGAATATATAGAGGCAATAATTCAACTACTGTGATGATGTGAATGCAAAAAAACTATAGTTGTGTGCATGGTTTGCCTTATCGGTCTGTATCAATGTATCGACCAACCATCAGTCTGGTACATATCAATGTACCGACACACTGTCACGAACGAAGTTGTTGCGGGTGGTCGTTGCGCACCCGCAACAACTTCGTTCAACGAATCGTTCATCGCTGTTGCATGCTTGTACAGAGACATGGCAGCATGTTTTGCGTTGGTTTTGTGTGTTTTTGTTTAGAAAATGTAAGCAACGACAGTTCGCAGCGCTGCAGTGCGACCGCTCGCCGCGCCGGGCCAAACTGCTCCAAAATAGTTTTGTTTTCGCGGGCCACGACTTGTTTTCTGCAGACCGCAACTGCACGCAAAACGTCAGCCATCTCAGCACCCTAGAACCCCCCGGGTGGCACAGGGCTGGTTGGGGCTTCGGTATAGTGTCGGGTGTTGAACAATCTTCACAAGTTCGTACGTTAACTTGACAGAAATTTGCCTTCGCGCTCGATACCCGATGAGCAGTTGTTTGCGGACTTGCAACTGTTCGTTCTACCTTCTAAAGTCCTTGTTTTCTCCTTCCTCTCTTTTCTCTCTTCCACTTAAGGTGCTCGCTGAATTGTTTGTAAAACTTTCCTCTTCGTGGGACGTCGGGACTTGTCCGTCGCTTGTTTTCAAACTAATCAACTTTTTGTTTCGCAGGTCCTTTGGGACCTATACGAGGTTGCAACTAGGCTGACCCTTTGCGGATGCATAAGTTACAAGGTCGCCTCATGACTTCGGCAATCCCAATGAAGTCCGAGGAGTTGGCGTAAGGGTGCTTCACGACTTAGGCAACTCTAGCTAAGTCTGTGACTTTGTCGTAAGGGTGCCTCATGACTTAGACAATTCCAGTTAAGTCCGTGACAACACGGTACGGTGGGATATACCAATAGACTGGTATTTACCACCCATACTGATCCCCTATTCGATCGGTATGTATCGAGCGGTACATTGTGGTATGGTGAACTGTAGTTGTGTGGTCTTTATATTTGTTATAGTAGAAGATCTCTTTTCATAATTTTTCATGTTATTTTCGGTAAGAATACTTGCAATATCCAAGTTGTGATTTAGTTGTCTATTTGGATAAGTTCAGGCTTATCTAGTCAAAAGTTGAATCTAGAGTATAGAATTTCTATTTTCTGGGATAAATCGACTTAATGGCCAAACTATTGTGTTCTAATTTTGTTAACTGGAGAAATTATAAAAAGTAGTAGGACAGTTTGAAGATGATGAAGGTTAACAATGAGTGAAACTGTTATACTCTATAAATGCTGTTGTAAACTGTCTTCAATTTAATTGATTGTTCGAGGCATGGACTGCAGCTTCTCTCGGATCGGTACAAAATGGGTGGTATATACTAGTTTGAGTGTGAACCGTTCTGTGTACTGCCCCTGTTTTGATGGTCTGGTCAATCCAATAAAAAGAAAGAGAAAAAAATATTTCACATGAACACAAGCCTCTTCCCTGGACACAGACCTGCGAGCCGCTGCTGTTGCCCGCATTCTGTCATCTGTTGTTGATTTTGGGTATGCTTCATCTTCTCCTTCACCTCCGTTCTCTTTCTCCTTCCTCTTCCTCCGTAACCTCCTCTTCTTCCTTCCTCTTCCTCCACTGTGTTCTCTTCTTCCTTCCTCCTCTTCCTCCACCGCCATCTATTCCTTCCTTCCTCTCCTCCTTTCTCTTTGAGTATTCAGTATGTATTGTTCCCTGGTCAGATCGATACACCTGGTTGGTATGAGACGACGAACCTTGGTTCAAGGAATTAGAGATCCCTGTCAAAATTGCTAGGATAGTCCTGGCTTGGTTGCCAACATCAAGAATATGTGTCCGACCTCTAAGCTTGTGCTTTTGAGTAATTTGTGATCCACTGATTTGTTTATTTTTGTGGGTCAGAGATGATTTCATGTGCCCTTCTTAAAGTCAATCCTGTGCTCCACCTTATTCAGTTCACGTTAACGAGGCATGTAATCTTCAAGGAAAGTTGGTCTTTCTGAATGGCAGAGGATGGTTACCACAGGGATAGCCTAGTAGATTAAATTACTCTTGGCTAGGATAATCATTTACATAACAAAAACTAACTAGGGAAGACAGCTAGTAAATTACTCTCAAACAAAAACTAGAAAAATATTTGTTTTATACAAGAAAGCTGCAAGAATTACAAATGATGGTAAGAAAATAAAATGGTTTACTAATGCAAGACATGGTCAGAAGACTCAGAAGTCAGAACAATGATTGATTTAGAGGTAAGAAAGCTGCTAGGTGCTCTAAATGAGGTGACTTTCTTTAATTATCATAGTGCACCTTGTTTTAATAGAAAATAGGTTGAAGTCTTTCATCATGATGATGGTTATGGGAGGATATTGATCAATACAACCAATTAGTTTCTTTACCTTTACCTAGGCCTTCTTCTTGTGATAGATTTGTCGCAGTTTTTGGATCTTGAGCAAGGAAGCAATAGCAGAAGAATCATCAAAAGCAACAATTTGAAAATTGCGATATATTGAGCATACCACCTTTTTGCATAAGTTTCTGTTGTACAGTTTTATCTCTCATTGCCAAACATTAAGGTGATTGCTTTGACTACAAGTAACATACGATTATACTGTTACTAACATATATTTTGGACTTGATTTTTGTCTGCAGGTTGCTGGCCTTAAGTTGGGAACCATGATGGGTGTTTTTGTACCTTGTTTGCAGAACATCCTGGGAATCATATACTATATCCGTTTTTCCTGGTGAAGTACAGCACACTTTGACTACTTTTTTTTACCTTATAAAAGCTTCGTCGAAGCAAATGATTACCATATCAATATAAAAAGGATTTCTCGGCTAATGAACCTGTGAATCCAAGTATTGGAGTAATTGTACCTTGCTAATTCAGTAATTATAATTGATTGGAAGCAGTCAAAATTTGGCCAGACTTAGGCAGGCACCGACCATCTCAGCCTAATTCATCCGGATTTATCCTATGGAGGCTGAAAGTCACCAATTCTTACACACACACACACAAAGAGAGAGAGAGAGAGAGAGAGGTGATTTTACAGAAATAATGGGATTTGTATGCTGTAATGTCAGATCTAATCCGACACATATTATAATCAGTGATTTAAAAAACGCTAGGCTCCAAAAGGTGCCATGGTCCCATGGTCCCAAAACGTTCGAGGCGTTAGGCTAGCGAGCAGCGCTCGCCTGAGTGAAGCGAGGCGTTCTGAAATATTAAAATATAAAAAATATATAATATAATTAAATATATAATTATTTAAATAAAAATATGATATTAAATTAAAAATATATTGTTAACGGTATATTACTTAAGTTAGAGGGAGAGAAAAAAATATTCTCTAAAATATTAAAATATAAAAATATATAATATAATTAAAAATATAATTATTTAAATTAAAAATATGATATTAAATTAAAAATATACTATTAACAGTATATTACTTAAAGTTGGAAGGGGGAGAAAAAATGTTAACAGTAAGAGAGGGAGATAGCAGTGGCAACGGAGGATTAGTTTAAGATAGTTGCGGCAGCGCTGCGAATGACAGCAGCTGTAGCGGTGGAAGCTATGGACAACAATAGTGGCAGCGAGGGAAGCTGCGGACAGCAGTAGCGACAACGATGGAAGCTGCGGACAGCGGCGAAAGGTACAGACAGCAACAGCGGTAGCGATGGAAGCTCCAGAGGGCGTCCGCTGGTGGGAGAGGACCGCAGCTCCCACAACAGTGGAAGGAAGCGACAACGAAAGGAAGCTACGGAAGCCGTCGGACTCGTTCATTAACAACAGAGGAAGGCTCGATCCGTTGCATTTGCAGTGAAGGCAACGACAAAACGCGTCAACAGCGGAGGCAGAAGCAACACTAGGGTTCCTGGTCGCGCGGGCATGAAGCGTGGCTTTTGAGGTAAAAAACTATGAACCGAACCAGCCTTAAACCGGTTCGATTCGCCTAATTAAATCGAGTGCTCGCCTGAAGTGCCCAGCGACTGTGTTTGGGTCAGCGCCCAAGCAGCGCCTCATTGAAGTGCGTCGCCTAGTGCACACACAAGGCACTCGAGCTTAGCCTCGCCTCGCCTCGCCCGAGCGCTTAAGCGAGCACCCGAGCGCCTATTTAAATCACCGATCATAACATCATCGTACAACATATCTTGGCCTTCCTTTGTTTGTGAAAGGAGAAGAAAAAGAGGAGAGAGAAGAGGATCAGAAAAAGAAAAGGAAGGAGAGTAAAAGAATGTGGAAACAAATATAACAATTATTTTAAAAAAATGTTTAAATATATTTTTGTCAGTATTAAATCATTTAAATTCTTATACTTGAATAACTAAATCTTATATTTTATATATTATAATTTTGGTCCTTTGTTTATGAAGACACACTTTATTGTATGTGTTCCTCTTTCATTAACTTTTATGTTATTATGCGAGATGGATTTTTCATCACTGTTGTTTCTTTTTGGCCATTTTAATTATAGTCATAAGGCTTGTTTAGTCCTCATTCAATGTATCATTTCCAGATTCTTGTTGGAAAGTGCTTCTTAAAATATTAACAAAAATTATAGTAGGACCAAGGGAAAAGTAGATGAATAACATAAATAATGTATTCATCATAGTTTGAAAATATGCATAATTAAGCAAAAAATATGTTCATTGTTCTCATTGTTCGCTGTAAAAGTTTGTAGATTAATTCTAATTATTATAAATTATAGTACATTTTCAGCATTACTCAAAGTGATAATTATCATTCTAATGATTAATTTTTAGCTAAATTATATTACTTTTTTGTAATGATTGTTTGTAATGATATAAATGATTGTATAGGAGACAAAATTGATCTTTAAGGACTTATGCGACCTTCTAAACCCCATCTAAGCACTTCCAATAATTTATAGGTATGGTTGTATATGTTAATCCTCTCCAGATCTTGCGTTGGCAGAATGTGCAGCAAAATTGGTGAAAGCCTCGTGCCTACATTTGCAGTAATCTGGCCTTGTGCCTACAAGGTGGAGTTGGTTAAAACTTAAAAAGCATCAACATGGATCACCTACACATCTAGGCAGCTACATGAGACAATATTGAAGAAGTGTCTTTGTAGCAAAGATCAATTTGAACGGATATTCATATTTTTGAGATCCGATCCCTTTACAAACAAATTAAATTGGACCTGTCACTGATCCTGTTGTGTTGTTGACTATGTATTTGTTATCTTTGGTCTTTGTTGATCATTGTCATAATTCTGTCACTCTTCACAATTTCATTCTCTTCATTTTCCTTCAAACTTAGTTATATCTGGTTATTGTTTCTGTAGGATTGTGGGTATGGCTGGCATTGGTGAGTCTCTTTTATTGGTTGCATTCTGCGGGTCTTGCACCTTTCTAACAGGAATATCTTTAAGTGCAATCGCAACAAATGGGGCAATGAAGGTAAACATTATTGTTGGTTATGAATTTTGTTGGTTGAGAACTGTTTAGGTATGTTTCCAAGACATCCATTGTTTTAATTTTGGGATGTAGACCTGTTAAGTTTGGCTGTCACTTATAGAGTTTTCTGATCTGTAGTATTTTTTTGGAATGGTTGATTTCCAAGATACATGAAACTACCAGTTGGGAAAGCTGCTAACAATATGCTTGTAACCATAACCACTACTTTGGATGCTTCTAGTGAATATTCTTTTCTAGCTATTACAAATTATTAATTAAGTCAGACCAAGTCTTCGCAGTTGATCATGGTTGAGAACTGACAAATTAATCTGGCCTTCATAACTTGCCAGACCATGAAAGTCAACCTAAACATCAAACAGAATATGCTATAATGCCTTGGATACTGAGTTACATTTTTTATGGGCTTAACTGTGCTGTATTTATAAGTAATTAATGTGGTGATCTAAGGAACTCTTGTTACTAGCTTTCCAGCATATCAGCTCAGTTATGGATTAGACTATATTCTCATACTTTGTACATTCAGGGTGGAGGGCCATATTATCTCATTGGTCGTGCTCTGGGTCCAGAAGTTGGAGTTAGTATCGGGTTATGCTTCTTCCTTGGTAATGCAGTTGCTGGTGCTATGTAAGTCTGCCTTTTGTCAATTTTTTCATATTACTGTGCTGGTCTTCTGTTTGCATATTCTGATCTGTCTGTTAACTCATTTCTTAGATTAAACATCTGAATGGCATCTTTAATTATGCTCCTTTTTGCAAGAGAGCTGTTGCTTTTTTTTGTGTGGGTTTCAACATAATCCACATTGCAAATACTAAGATTTAGAGGCAATCATTACGGTGTTCATGGTGATCAATTTTTTAAAATCCTTCTGATGGAGAACCAAGGTATATAAAGGATTTTAGAGGGGTTTGTTCTAGGCAAAGAAATTAACAAAATGTCGTCAATTTTCTGACATAGAAACTTTAAGAGTTGCGTAGAAAAATGAAGAGTCTTTTGGTCTTTCTAGGTGTTAACCTTGAGACTCTACTATACTCTTTTTTTTCTTCTCAGCTGTAATAAGTTGTTTTAAATCTGTTTAGGTCTCTTAGAAGTTATATTTTGTGTTTTTAAAGGTATACAAGTTCCCTATGAGGTTACTCTTGAGAATCATTGTCTACATAAACTGTATAAAGGTTCCTAAACTCTATAAATAGTGGAGCTTGTTAAATGGATGAAACACTTCATATTTGAATAAAAAAGAATTGCATCTTTATTCTTCTAGCATTTCTCTCCTCTATAATCACTAATCTCACTCCTCTCTCTCTCTCTCTCTCTATTTCTCTACCGTGTTATACATCACCTCCTCTATAATATGCCATATTTGTTTAAGAAATCAATTCCTTTTTGAATAATGTTAGCATTGTTCATTCTAGTTTCTTTATGAAAATAGGGACATCTTTGGAAAGCCAAACAAAAACTTGTTGTTTGATTATTTTGGCCTAGGTTACTTAGAAATGAAATTATAAAAAAATTGTTTTCCATTCATCTTGGCTTTTTCAAGGTCAATATAATTTTGAGCTCCTATTCTCCCCTTAGATGAGCTTAAGCTGCAAAATTTTGATGAAAAACCTGCATGTATATTGTTATATTTACCTAGTTAGGAACTTGATGTCATTTGCTAGATGTGATATCTAATGGATTCCCTTTCATTATTTTGCTTAAATTTAAAATTATGTTTTCTTGATTTCAATTTGTACTGTAACAAATGCTAATAAGATAATTTGACTTGATTGAAATACTTGAAATGGATATTAACCATAAGCTCTTAAATGTGCATTAAGGGGAAATGGATCAGGTGAAGTTACACTGAATTTTGTTTACTAATTTACATAATATATTGAATTCTGCCTTGTTTGGATGTCCAGATGAACTGAAGCTGGAAAATTTTAGTCCTTTTCTTAAATGCTTTATTTTTTCACTTTTTTGTGTTAACTGCTATCAGATGATTTTACTCTAGTTATATGGCACTATCTCTGTAAGAGCATCACTGTCAAATATCAATTTCTAATGAGCACTTTCCAAGTCACCACAGTATTATATGAATTCTAATCAGGTTTTTTCACGCATTCATTCTTTTGGACATGCTGACATTTACATTCTGCTTGCACTTTGTTCATACTTCTAGCCAACCGGGTGTATCGGTCACTGCATGGACCAGTACATACAGATCAGTACCAAAGTATATATGTCGGTGCGTCTGTATGTACTGGTTTTTTTAAAAAATTACCAGAATCTCAGAAAACTCTGTTTTAGGGGTTTTCCCTCCTAATTTATTGGTATATAAATTACATATAGGTAAGAATAAATTGTATCTAAGCCTTAAATGCATAAAAAAACTCATGTTATAAGGAGGAAAATTGAAAATTTCTTTTCAACTAAGAACATTAATCACTAATCTAATCTAGAGCTTGATTATCACTACTAGCTGATTAGGAACTTTAGTCACAAGTGACTGTGAGATAGAGAGTGAATGTAAGTGAGTGAGAAAGGGGGAGGAGGGGATTTAAAGCCCCAAAAAGATGCCCCAACGTTCAGTTTGACTGTTAGGGCCAGATTTGACCCAATACACCACCCAAACTGACTGATACCAGCCAATTTTCTGTGTATTGTCTGAAACGGCAGGTCTGTGTACTGGTCAGCTGGCAGACAGACATGTACCGCTCGTTTCAGGCTGTACATCAAACCTTGCTTCTAGCCATATACAATGACCAAGATGAGTACAATCATTGTCTCATGACTTTCTGTGTGTTTATTGGACAATCATATATATATACACACACATATGTTTTATATTTAATGCAGATTAAGATTCTAACAATATGTTATCTATTGTTGTAGCTAGCAGCATTGTTCTGCTTAAAATATAGTGGATTACTATTTGTACTTATTAAATTACATCTAGATTGACAACGACACTACTTTTCGAGAACTTAGTAGTTTACATATTAGTATACATTGAAACACTTAGGTTATGGATGCAGATAAAGATTTTAACAATGTTTTATCTGTTTTCACAGCTAGCAGCATTAATTTTGCTTGTAACAAATGTGTGTGTGTGTAGCCAGGAGAAGCAATCTTATTGTGGTGCCAAAGCTTACTCTCAACATGAAATCAATAAATGAAACATAAATTAGATGGCCAATTAGTGCCAAAATGAAAAAAAGTTCTTAACTGGGGCATATATCAAGAAGAGATCAAAAGAGTCCACATAAAATAAGAGAAAGGTACTTCAAGAAAATAAGGAAGGATTCATGCCTCAATGAATCATAATAGGACAAACAGGATGGTACGTAATAGAAAAATATAATATCGCTGATTATTTGGACTTTGACATGCATGAGTATGATAACAACAGAAGAATGGTTGTCTTGGTGACAAGCTGGAGGTAGCAACTGCTGCACTTTTAAGATGAGGGAAGAACACTAGGAAATGTTCAAAGAATATGAACTACATGCTCTGTGAATAGAGAGGAGCTGATTCCATTTAAGTGGTGCCATGAGAACGGTTAAGCCATATATCTCTTTCATTTTATTCATGTGTATTTAAAGTATACATCTTACCTCTCAGATTTAGATATTGGATGCAAGTTGTCTTACCTCTGTGCCAATTTGGTAGCCAATTATCAGAAATTTAGTTGTTATTAACACTTTAATTGTTTCAGGTATGTCTTGGGAGCTGTTGAAACCTTCTTAGATGCTGTGCCAAGTGCTGGCTTCTTCACAGGTGAGCTACTTGGATGGTTGTGCCTTGTACTGTACCGATCAAAACTCAGATCTGTATGGTACCGGTCCATAGCAGTGAACCAAGTGTTTGAAGTACATAATTGGTTTGGAAAAAAACTTAAAATATGACTGAAAAAAAAAGAAAGAAACTGCTTGGAATAGATCCTGTACCACCCTATAGCAACCCTGTAATGGGTGTACCATTTGGTTTGGACTGGTCCATGTACTGGCAAATTTATTGGACCAGGAAATACAACTTGTACCAATGACAATTGGACTTATTTGCATTGAGAAAAGAAAAACTTCGATTTAGAAACATCTCAAGATTTTGGTGTTGGAAAATTTTGGTAGTGTGGGGATCTAGTTTTTGTAGAGCAAACCATGAGATTGGACATGCCAGATGACCGGTGAGGTGCTACTGGCAGTTATACAGGATAATGGCAGATCACCGATAAGTTTGTCATGAAGAATTCGTAGGATAATGGCAGTTCTATGTCAACATGAAATATGTATAGATTAGCAAGGAAAAGGTTATAACATCTGCGTCATGTGTTGTTGTTTTTTTTTTTTTTTTTTGAGGCTTGATTTTTTAATTTTAAATAATACTCTTATCTTATAGTTTTATTAGCATGCATGAATCACCTTTGCATTCAATCTGCTTTCGAACTCTGAACTCACCTAAAGGAACATGCAATGTCATACATCAAAAGTCAAAGAATTGTATACTATTTAAATGTTTTTTTACCAAAAAACAGTTGTATGGTCTTGGATAGTTAATCATGTTGTCAGCGGACTATAAGTGGAGGTATGAGATAGTAAAGACCATCAAGTATTACACCTTTAAGGGTATTATTCATTCCTTTTATAACATCACACATCTGGAACATTGCTGGTGTGGTAGTGCATGAAGGGTACTCTGTTTTATTGTGCTGCACTATATTGTTTCGGCCATGTGCTTGATGATATGCCAAGGCACAATAGCGGAGGCCAATTTGCAATTTGAATGTGATATGCACACTGATAATATCCATTTTCCATGAATTCTGATGTTTGGCAGTTTAAATCAGAGTAGTAAAAAACTCGTAAGTTATGAAACACCACCTAACAGATGATCAGTCGAGCAAACTTTAAGTTGATGATCACTATGTAGTCATGATATTCAAATCTTAGCCTTCTCGGTTTCATCCGGGTGAATCCTTTGATAAATTCCACATGAGCTGTGAGGAATAAAAGATGAAAATATTCCTTGTACAGATGTTATACAATGTGCATTTATCACTGATATGATAAAATGTTCACCACTCTAGAGGAAACAACAGTGGGAGTTTGCAAAGGGGCAGTGACGTTGTTGAGATTCATGACATTTCTCTTACTGTGTTAGCAATGATGTTAATTTTTCCATTAAAACGATCTTTAAAAATATTTGTTTGCTAACTTTAATTGCTGCAATTTAGGTGCAATGTTGTATTCAGGATTTATTTACTTTTTAATGCATTGTACAGCTTTCATGAATGTTCATTCACTTTATTATTGCTTATCAGCAAATCCATGTTAAATGGTATTCCTTGGCGTGTTTTCTTTTCAGATTCTGTAATACTTGTCACCAATAGCACAGCAACTAATGGTACAATATCTGAAGTAACAACAATTGTATATACTCCAAGCTTGCATGACTTGCAAGTCTATGGAGTTATTGTGACTATTCTTCTCTGCTTTATCGTATTTGGCGGTGTCAAGATTATAAACAGGGTAGCTCCAGCTTTCTTAATACCTGTCCTGTTTTCACTTTTCTGCATATTCATTGGGGTATTTTCAGCTCCAAGGAGTAATGCTTCAAGTAAGATCCCTTTATTAAATACCTTTTTTATATGATTTTATATTCCTAATTTAAAGTTCAGTCTTTCTGGTCTTCACTTTCCATGAAGTGGTATACCTGAACTTTAATTATTTTGTGGCATCTCATTCATATGTTGCTCCCTTTTTGGAGTCTGCCACAGGTGGCATAACGGGGTTGAGATCCCAAACATTCAAAGATAATTGGAGTTCTGCTTATCAGCGTACTACAAATGCTGGAATACCTGATGCAGAAGGACCTATATATTGGAATTTTAAGTAAGCCTTGACTGCATGTGTGTGTGTTATTATTCACTTAGGATCAGTGCAATTGATGACCTTCGACTAAATTGGAATTATTTGCAAGTCAAAACATTTGGGTTACATTTTATTCAATTTTGAAACACAAAATATTACATTTGCTAGTTGATTTTGTTTGATTTGGGAAAATGTAATAGTAACAACAGGTGTTGACATATGCCTTGGCATGAACCAAGACACATTCCTGCAGCTTGATATATATAGTTTATTGTTTTAACTTTGTTCTTATATCCATTCTGAAATTTTCTATCCTTCCGTAGTGCACTGGTGGGTCTATTCTTTCCAGCTGTAACAGGAATCATGGCTGGTTCAAACCGATCTGCATCATTAAAGGATACACAACGTTCTATACCTCTTGGAACACTAGCTGCAACACTTACCACCTCTTTTTTGTATTTGATATCAGTATTACTATTTGGAGCTTTGGCCACCAGAGAAGAGTTACTGACAAACCGGTACCCACATTATTTTCTCTCTATCTTTTCATTCCTTTGAGTGATCATAATTTACACACAGGCTATAAATTTCTGTGAATTGTGCTTCTTTTTCCAACTTTTCTCTGATCTGAATGTGTACTGTACTTTGGCACCACCACCAAATCATGCTGCTGCTTCTTTATGATTATCTGGTGCCTCCACCAATTAGGATTGCAGCAATAGCTTACACAGAATGCCAGAAAGATGGCTTGGTCATATGTTTTGTTAGTAGATAGGTCTGACATAAATCAGCATGATACACCTTACCGTAGACTGATGTTTGCTGTTAGGAGCAGCAGAAGTTGTTGAATGATGTGTTGAAAGGACAGTTGGAAGAAATTATCATTCTACTGAACATTGAGGAACTAGCTAAGTAGAGAAATAGACAAAAACAAGAGAAATACTTAAACCTTTTAAAAGAAAAAATATATGATTAACTTAATCATCAATTTAATAATCAGTTTTCCCCCAAGGATCTTGATCCCAATTGAGTTAGGATGTTTTAATAGGCAAAACATATGGTAGAAGTTTCTCTTAAGAGAAATACATTAAGAACTCTCAAAACTCGAGTCTTAACAACTTAATAAAATCCTATTGATTCTCGATAAATTAGATTCTTAATCATTAATACAACTCGAAGCAAGGCATGCACACCTTCTAAAGCAAGGATTGTTCTGGTTGTGCGCATTTAATCATAGAACACCCTGTATCAATCGTATGGGAGACTTGTTTGAATGAAACTTATATTTTAATTGATTTTTAATGCATACCAACTTGAAGTAATGATTTTGGCCAGAACGGTATGGTAAATTGAAGTTTCATTTTTGTTCAGTGTTTAATTCAACACTCCTCTCTCTCTCTCTCTCTCTCTTTCTCTTTGTTACTGTTTCTCTTGGAACTCCTCTATCATTTTCTTTACTCCATTAAACCCATCATTTCTCAGAGGTGTAAACCATGTTTGCAACTTATTTACATCAACATCCATCCCCAAGATTCACTTCTATTTGTCAGTAGACAAGTCATTTTTGTCAATGATTCTATAAATGTATCCTTGCATTACTTTTTTTCCTATACATGCTTCATATAGTTCGTTGAGCTTTTAAGGTTAGAATTTGTGGAATCCTTTCAAGTTTCAACAAACAATTTCAGAAGGTTCTTTCTGCGTATGTTTGGTGCAATCTTTTGACAAAAACATTTGCATAAACTAACAGAAAACTGTTTCCAGATATAAGCAACAGTTGATTTCTTGTCCATTGGCTCTGACTTTTGATCTTTTGGCAGCATCTACTTTTGAAGTTACTTGCTATGTTGTATTTCTTTGTTTGAGTTCATGATTTAGAACTTCTGTGCAGGCTTCTGACTGCTGAGGTTGCTTGGCCTCTTCCAGCAATTATATATCTTGGAATTGTTCTCTCCACTTTAGGTGCAGCATTACAGACTTTGACAGGTGCACCACGCTTGCTTGCAGCCATAGCAAATGATGACATTCTCCCTGTTCTTAATTATTTCAAGGTCACAGAAGGCGGGGAACCTCATTTGGCAACTCTCTTTACTGCCTTTATTTGTATTGTCTGTGTCGTGATTGGGAACCTCGATCTAATCACACCCACTATAACTATGTTCTTCCTCCTATGTTATGCGGGAGTTAATTTATCTTGCTTCCTTCTTGATCTTCTCGATGCTCCTAGCTGGCGCCCTAGATGGAATTTTCACCATTGGATGCTCTCGCTTCTTGGTGCATTAATTTGCATTGGTATGTTGCCATCACCACTGCATTTTATATCATATATTTCATATAGCTAGCTAGATATTGAAGTGTGTCCAAATTATAAATATGTATAAGTCATGCCAACCGAACCAAAATGGAAGTATCTATGCTAGACTAAGGTGCAGCATACAGGCAAAAGTAAGCAAATCTAGGGCCAGTTCTTAAGCTGGTTAGCAGAACAATTAGGAAAAGAATATGTGGATATGACAGGAGAAAAATGTGGGAAATTCTGGATATTTGATATAAATTATTATTATTTGTTGGACCTTTGTTATGCTGATAATTATGTCATTTATACGATAGCAATTGGTTTTTCTTTTGGTTGTGTTATAAACTGATGTTTCAGGTACAGGCACATTTTGATTCCGTTTTGTCAGAACAGGAGATGCTAGGCATGGGACAATTAAAATTAACAAGAAACCTTTATTTAGAGATTTCAAGTGTGTGTATGTGTTACACAAAATTGGTGGCATGATTTACCAATACACCTCCTGACAGCATTTGTCATAAGTGTTTCTATTATCAACTCACTGTTAAATATATACTACTTTTTGCCAGTATCCATGGTCTGGTAGATATTAAGGACTTAGCCACTGGAATCCTTGCTCAGATATATCTAATGTATTATTTTCACTAAAACCACCACTTATTTTGTTCTGCACCTAGATTATTGATCAATCTTTTAAAAAGGCTGCTTCGGATTAGATGGCTATATTATAACCATATATTGAAATCATTTGTTAATTTAGTAACAATAAGTCTAGTTACCTAGATATCACTTCATTTTCTTAATCTATGAGTTGGTACGTAGTTCTTAGAACATCAATTGTAAGATGTCATTGAGAAGCTTTCTTTAATACTGTTGGACATTCATTTTTAGAAAATAACTTGTAATTAGTTTATTTTTCTCTTGTAATTTTTCTCTTGTTAAGAACTTTACATCTTATTTATTTTGACAACTCTTTATTTTGTTGAATATTACAATCCAGTTGGGCATTTGTGTACCAACTTATTAAATATGGAAGCAGCAAGTATAAATATAACTTACATTTAAATAGCCTACAGTGTAGGTTTCATTTTCCTTGGATAGTGAATATTTAAATATTTTCTATTATTATTTGACAATTGACATTGATGGATGTATCACTCAATTATTTCTTTGTATTCCAAATGAAGGAAATTGTACTTGCCTTGTGGACAATTTTCTGATGCCCATAGACTTCATTACGCTTTTGTTTATCAGGTTGTAAGCAGTTGTGCAAAAGATCATTATGCCATACAAGGACTTGCTAGACAAGAGGTGAAAATTTTCTTAGTCACATTAATGATCTGATATGAATGGTTAAAACATTAACGATGGCATAATGCCAGAATTTGTATGGGCCTGCTAAAGGTGGAACAGTATAACTAATATCTTGAGCTAGCTCGAGGCATGGCTAAGAGCATTCAGTAAGGCATGTCTAGATTCCTAAGCTGTATTTTTCTTTATGTAGTACTTTTTATTTTTTTGGGATATCTACAAAATAAATATATAAGATGCTGAATCTTAACAGTTGAAAATCAGAGCTGTAGAACTTGAATGTAGTGTTTTTGTCCACTAAATTGCTATGTATCTAAGATATTTTTTATCCATGCAGTGATCATGTTCCTCATCTCCTGGTCCTTCACTGTGGTGTCTCTGGCCCTTGCTAGCCTCATATACTACTATGTGAGCATAAAAGGGAAGGCTGGAGATTGGGGAGATGGTTTCAAGAGTGCCTATTTTCAGCTAGCTCTCCGCAGTCTTCGGTCATTAGGAGGTATGCCTATATGTTATGCCACTCTTTTGATGATTTGAAGAAATATAATGTTTGTCGATGATTGCTCGGTACACCATGGAACTGTATTATTTAGTAACAACAATATGTGAGACAAAGTACAGTATGCAATGATGCACCATAACATTAGCCTTTAGACTCAAATTCTGCATACAGGATGTGTTGAATTACAAAATAAATATAATCTTTAGATTGAACACACACACTTCACAAACATGTCCTGACAAAAAAGAACATGTTTTAAAATTTTCGATATTACTATGATAGATGTCGATGCATGTCATGAGGCACCTCAAATGATCCTTCGAGAACTTGTAGTAATTAATGTGAGGATCAACCAAAAAACACTCCCCTCTTCCAGTTTTCCTATCCTGTTCTGTGTCGGCTTCACTATTGCTTCTTAGCTAACATTCCCTATTTCATTTTCTGATGTTTTCTACATATTCTGTGTCTGTACTTGTGTTCCAGCTTCTTCAATAAATTTAATGATCTTGGGAAGTACAAAACTGCATAGGATAGTTGTCTTTATACATATATCATAACATTTCTCTGCTTAGTGACGTATGCTATTGGGTAACTCAAAATATTAAATTTTGCCTTAAACTTGCCAGTCTTATCCCTGATTATCTCTAGGTTTTATGCTGCCATATTGGCAACTATTTACACTCTTTGCACATATAAGAACTGTCAAGTGTTCACTGATTAACGTGGAGGAATTTGGTTATGAATCTGGTTTGGATGTCTTATATCTTATGATGAACTTATTATATCTATCCCGTCTTGCAGCAAATCAGGTTCACCCTAAAAATTGGTACCCTATTCCTCTCGTCTTCTGCCGACCATGGGGAAAGCTGCCAGAAAATGTTCCTTGTCATCCAAAGCTTGCAGATTTTGCCAATTGCATGAAAAAGAAAGGACGTGGGATGTCGATCTTTGTATCAATTATCGATGGCGACTATCATGAATTGGCTGAGGATGCCAAGACAGCTTGCCGTCAGTTGAGCACTTACATAGACTACAAACGCTGTGAAGGGGTAGCTGAGATAGTAGTTGCTCCCACGATGTCTGATGGCTTCCGTGGCATTGTACAGACCATGGGACTAGGCAACCTTAAGCCCAATATTGTAGTCATGCGATACCCTGAGATTTGGCGGCGTGAAAACCTCACCCAGATTCCATCTACCTTTGTCAGCATTATTAATGATTGCATTATCGCAAACAAGGCTGTTGTGATCGTCAAGGGCCTTGATGAATGGCCCGGTGAATATCAGAGACAATTCGGGACAATTGACCTCTATTGGATTGTGAGGGATGGGGGCCTTATGCTTCTCCTATCTCAGCTCCTTTTAACAAAAGAGAGTTTCGAAAGCTGCAAGATTCAGGTCTTTTGCATTGCTGAAGAGGACACAGAGGCTGAAGAGCTGAAGGCTGATGTCAAGAAGTTCCTCTATGACCTGCGCATGCAAGCTGAGGTGATTGTTATAACGATGAAGTCGTGGGAGTCACACATTGACACTGGGGTTCAACAACAGGATGATTCGGTGGAGGCATTCACCGGTGCACAACGCCGAATTGCTTCTTACCTTGCTGACATGAAGGAGACGGCCAGAAAAGAAGGGATGCCCCTGATGGCCGACGGAAAGCAGGTGGTGGTCAACGAGCAACAGGTCGATAAGTTCCTTTACACCACCCTGAAGTTGAACTCAACTATACTCAGATACTCGAGGATGGCAGCGGTTGTTCTCGTCAGCCTCCCACCACCACCTCTGAACCACCCTGCCTACTTCTACATGGAGTACATGGATCTGTTGGTTGAGAACGTGCCGAGGATGTTGATAGTTAGGGGATACAGGAGGGATGTCTTGACCCTGTTCACATAATTGAACCCATCTCTACTGGTGACGCGACTTTGTTGTAATTGACTTTTTTGGCTCTGGTTGGCTTTTGTTTAATTATCACACCCCATAGACATTCAGTTCATTCATTCATTGGACTGCAGTCTCGATGTTAGACCTCAATATTTATTCTAAGAGGGCGTTGTGTACTACTATTGTTTGAAGGTGTTGTTTTGGTGATAGAATTGTCCATATGACAAATAAAAGTCCTAGGATGGAGTGATCACCAACAGACCAAAGCCAAATTTTGCAGCAAGTCATGAGCCTGACAACGATCAAGATAACATTCATCGAATGCCACGAGAGCTCCCAGGGCTGAAGGTGGTCAGAGTTATCGAGTTCTGCATGTTTCATCAAAGGTTGTCGTCCACTCCTCCAATACTGATGCATGAGATGGTGATGACCTAAGAGCTGGACCTCCTGTTTTATTCACAGATGATGCAGATTGTAATGCGTTCGTTTTATTGGATCCTTGTTAAGCGGAGGAGACTATCTGCTATCTGTCCGATACTGAATCCAGCCGGAAAGGTTTCTTTTTCTTACTGATGCCTTCCGTTGGATTCGAGCTGCGATAGTATTCGCCAAGCTGATGTGCTGCAGATCATGAGGAAGATGCTCATCGAGTCAACGTGTTAAAAGCATATCATACATTGGGAAAGCTTAGCTTCTCGGATTCATAGCCACGTACCTGATTCAGCTGTTCCGATGGTAATCTACTCCCTCTTTCCTAGTATTGAATTAAAATTATTTATGTAGTATCCATTTTTCATTTGACTTGGATCTTTCTTATCTTGCATTCAGATTTTATTCACAGCCTTGGAGTTTGCTACCAAGTCATGCTCATCGAGTTTGCTACCGATATCCCAAAGAAGCTACCTTACCCAACATGTCAGCCTTGGATTGGGATGAATTGATATGGTTTCCCACGTCACCTCCTCTTTGACAAGTCTGGTGCATCCAATTCGAACCATCTTCCTACCTGTAAACTGCCGACAACAGGCCGCGATTGCTAATAGTATTTGGTTTGGCTCATTAAGGGAAGGATGGTGCACCCTACCCCACCCTACCCTACTCCGAGCACGGATGACATTGCAAGTCTCATTCGACGCTACGGTAAGCGAAACTCGTGGACGTCGTTTGCCACATCTCCGTCCCCATCGCCACCTCGGTGATCTGTGAGCTTCAGTTTCGCTGTCTAAGATTACCTTCCGGTGTTTGGATCTGCAGGTGACGACGTTCGGCGCTCATTCGCTGCATTTCCATGCACGTAAAAGTCGCTTTCTCCCCTCTTTTGCATGACCCTTTTCTACGCGTTGTACGGATTCTATGTTTTTATACTTTATATTTATATATATATATAATAATTATATTTTTTTTTATCTTTTTAAATTTACTATCCACCCAATTGATTCATCGATTCAATCAATGCTTTGATAACTAATCTGATTTTGATAATTAGTGAACTCAATAATTTTTTTTATAAAAAATAAGCTTAATGAAAATAATAATAATAATTCGAAAAGATAAATTTAATTAATAAAATCGATTCTGAACACTATAGCAAGAAATAATAAAAAATAAATAATTTTACAAAAGGTGTCGATTTCAAAATAATTCTCGAGTCATTCGTTTCACATGCATCAAAACACGTGGAAATAGAGTATAGTGTCTGTCCAAAGCAACCATCATCTTTGCACAAGTCAAGAAAAGGCATCCTTCACGACCTACGGTTCATAATAATATTCTAATATTTTCTTCTTCTTTTTTTTTTTTCCTATACTCTTTCTTTTCTTACTTAAATAATCAAGAGACCAAAAGGAGAGATAACACTAAGTGACATCTTCTTTTCCAATTATTTATTACCTTTGAAAATTTTCTTTATTTTCGCTCTATGTTTATTAAACTATGTTGATGCACATTTGATGATGATTCCAAGTCTAATTTGTTTTAAACAACAACAACAACAACAACAACAATAACATGCTATTGATCATATGAAATGATGGTCTTTTTTATTTCTTATAAAGGTTGGTTAGATAGAGGGTGGGTTTGGGAATGAATTTTGTTTTATTTTTTCAACTGCACGTTAAAATATAAATTTATTTTTAAACACAATCCGATTCTATCACGTAATTATTTGATTTGACCTTTCGCTACCTATTATTATGCATTACAAGCACGATTTTATTTTGATTTTGGTATCAGAATCGAACGAGCCTTGAGTTATTGATCCAACCGATAGGTCAACTAGTCAAATTGCATGGTTAATTAAAAACATTTTTTTAATATCTTAAATAATTTATTATATATTATAAAAATCTAAAATCTAAAATAAAATATTATTAAAAATAATAATAAAATCAAATATAATAAATATGATTAATATATATTTTTTTATGATTTTATTCATATACTTTATATTTTTATATATAATTATACCTTTTTATTACATCGATTCAATCAATGAATTGATTTTGATAATTAGTGAACTGAGTAATAAAAAAAAGGTTAAAAACTATTGAATCTCGATTTTGATGATGAAACCAATCGATAAGTGTTTATGTTTTAATCTGCATTTTGAGTGACGTAGGATGCTTCGATCAAGATGAGATAATTAAAGCAGGAAGAATCATGTTGTGCCGGAGGAAAACATATCAGAAGATTGAATGTCGGACCGGTGGATCAGTCGACGTATCGATAGAAGGCTTCGGACCATAGATTTGGGCATCAGGCCAAGAAGAGCGGATATTGCGCCAAGGATATCGGAGTTACAAAGTCAACTGGTCGATTGGGCAATATGCCGCAAGAGAGGACGATGCGCCGAAGAATCAGACAAAGCGTCGAGGGACCAATGACATGCCGAACAATTTGATTAATGCTTAGTATTAATTGTCTAGATCAAAGTGTGTTTTACATACGCAGGATTAACTATGATAGCAAGGCATGTAGCAAAATGAAGTCCCGGAGTCAAGGACACGATTTCGTTGGGAGTTTGAGAGTTCATCTTAAGTCCGGGTGTTCGTCGGAAGTTCTAGCGGAACCAACCGAGAAGTCTCGGAGCTTGCCAGAGAAGCTCGTCGGAACTCGCCAAGAAGATCGTCATGAAGTCTAGGAGCTTGCCGGGAGTCCGCCGGAACATTACCGAGAGATCATCGGAAAATCGCTGGAAGCTCGCCGGAAGAATAGACTTACGGACTTGTTTAGCTCAGGTTATGTTTTAGATTTTGTAGTTAGCACATAATTGGATTTAGATTTGGGCCAACTCAATTAGGGGTCAGGTAGGCCCATGTAAGGACTGTGGTGGGCCCAATAAGAGGCCCAAATAGTACCCTAAGAAGTCTCATCGTCATGGCATAGTCTTCGAGATTGTGTCAGGCGGTGTTACCGCCAATCTGGGCAGTTGTACTGCCCCTAGCAGGGTGCTAGGCGGTGGTACCACCAGTTTGGGCGGTGGTACAACCCAACACTGCCCCCCAGGTGGTGGTATCGCCTAGGGCAGTGTCAGCGTCAGACTGACACTGAGTAGTGGTACCACCCAGCGCAAGCGGTGGTACCGCCCGTGCCCGGAGAACCCAGGGTGGAAAAGTTTTAGACTCCGAGTTTGAATCAACTTAAAGCCTATAAATATCCCTCTTATCCTTAGTTAAAGCACACAAGCACAGGAATTTAAAGAGGAAAAAACATTGTTGTAATCTCTTGTGAGAATCCTCCTCTTTGAGTCTAAGTGTTAGAATAGTTTGAGAGGAGTGAGTGCTTGTATGAATTATCTTCTAAAAACCCGGTAAAAGAAGAAGAGAGGTGTAAAAGGTGATTGATCTTCGCCTATTGAAGGAAGGCCTCTAGTGGATGCCGATATCTCGTCGGAGGAGGAAGCCGAAATTGGATGTAGGTCACGTTGACCGAACCACTCTAAAACTATCGTGTTCTCTGGTTTGCATCTTATTCTTGCTATTACCTTACTACAAACCTCTTTACTACATTCAATTCATTTAAGAACATGTTTCAAGTTAAGATATTTTCGAGATCTGTTTTCAACATAAACGGTTTTACCGAAACGAAGTTTTTGAAGACGTAATTTTTACGACTACACTAATTTACCCCGCTCTTAGTGCCAACTCTTGATCCTAACAAAAACAATAATTCCAAAAGATAAATTTAATTAGTAAAATCGATTACGATAACTATAGCAAGAAATAATCAAAAATTAATTTTACAAAAGTTTTCAAAGGATCATAGGGAGGTAAATCGATTATGAATATATCAGCTAGTCTAATTGATAAAGATTTTAATCATTTATCATGACATCTTATCTCGAATCTTACTTTCATCACTTACTTTTCTTTAAAAGAAAAAAAAAAAAGCCTAGAGTCATTTGTTTCACATGCTCAACATGAAGAATTAGAATATATTGTTCAATGCATAAGTCCAAAAAAAAAAAGGGGGGGGGGGAGGGGGGGTTGATAAGCATCCATAATAATATTCTAATTGGACTTTCTTAACCGCTAATATTCTCTTCGTTTTTATCCTTCTTTTTAGTAATGAACCTCCAAATTTCATATTTTTATTTTTTTATACTCTTTCTTTTCTTACATAAATCCAGTGAAAAAAAAAAGTCAGTCCATTATCACCAAAAAGAAGAGATAACACTTAAAATGAAATCTTCTTTTCCAATTAAAGATTTTCCTTGAAAATTTACTTTGATTTTTATTTTTTCACTCTGTGTTTATTAAATTATGTTAATGCACATACGATTGATTATTCGAAGTCTATATATTTTCACACACAACAACAATATGCTATTGATCATATGAAATGATAGTCTTCTTTATTTCTTATAAAGGTTGATTAGATAGAAGGTGGGATTGGGAATATCTTTTTCCTTATGGTCATATTAAAAATAACTATTGCATAACTATTTATTTGATTTGACATTCTCTATCTAATTTTCATAAATAGTTATTGGTGAACCCATACATCAACTACTCAAATTGCATGTAATATAATATAATATATATTATAAAAATACTAAAAAAATAAAAAAAAAAAGTATAAAAATGATTAAAATAATAATAAATATCAGCCAATATTA